GCCAGACTGGAGGGGCCAGGAAGAGCTGGAGGGAGGGATGGAGGGGGAAAAACTCAGGGAAGGGGAAGGAATTGAGCAAAAGGGGAGAGACAGCGTGTGTGTGCATGGACGGGAGCATCAAGAGGAGATGCTCCAAAGCCAGAGAAATGAAAAAGCCATAGGGAGAAAAGTTACAGAGGGAAGAAAATAGCAGCGAGGAGAAAAACAGGAGGAAGAGGGAGGATAAAAAAAAGCGCTCAGTCACTACTGAATAATGTAGGGCAGGCTATCGGGGGCTAGTGAAAGCGACAAAAGCTTCCAGCCTTTTCTTTTTTCGTCATTAACAGATGGAGCTGTGCACGAAAGCAGGGACGTAGGCTCCAAACCCGCAGCTCGAGCAATCAAAGCGTGCGGCAGACAGGAGCGCGCCAGCCTCCGCCGGAGCCAGGCGGCCTGAAGGGATGAGAAAAGCTCTCAGAGCCCGGGGGATGCAGGCAAAGAGGCAAAGGTGACCCCCATCCCACCCGCGCTGCCCCCCACCAGCACAGCCGGCTCCGCTTGGATGTGAGCGCGGGCAGCCCCGGGTGGGAATTATCCCTGCGGAGAGGATGAGAATTAACCTTTCCACTCGCCTTTCCTTCCCTCCCACCAGCCCTCCCCTGCCTTTCAGCCGCCTGCACCAGCGGGTCCCCAAGACACCACCACCCCCCAAAAAAAATGACAAAGCTCCCTCCCCGTCAGCTAGTCCCTCCCTGATTTACAGAGACCAAAGGTAGGATGCCCTTTGCCGGGTGCTTTTACCTTTCCAGAGAGGTCTTGCTCTCCGCAAGAGCATCCCCAGTGCCGCCGAACAAGCCGGCAGCCAGAGCTGGCGTTTGGTCAGCGCTGGCAGATGTCCCCTGCGCAGCCTCTCTTGTCTTGCTGGGTTTTGGTTCTCTGCGTTGGTTTTCCTCACAAAACCTGTGGGGTGGGTTTGCCCCGGCAGAGCCCGCTGGAGGCTCTTCCAGACCCCAGGGCATCGCAGCCTCCCTCTTATTTGCAGCCTGAGTGTGTTGCTGCCCGGTGTGGGTCTGTTTGTGCTCACACCAACACCACCTTCTCGCTTTCTCTCTCCTTGCTACCTTCTCCCCGCTGTTCCCATCCACCCAGGTTGCATCCTGCCCAGCCAAACCCAGCTTTCCTCCGACCTTCCCCCCACTCTGTTGTTCATGATGCATAGGAAAGATTGGGGTGACAGCAGCGGGCATCCCCCTTCATCCTTGTGTGCATGATCATCAGGTCCAGTCCATCCTGGAACAGTGGGATATAGGGAAGAAGAAAAAGCTGGAAGCCACAACCACAGTTGAGCATGGTGACCTCTTCCAGGCCAGCTCTGAGGCTGGGAAGGGCCTGTCCAGATCAGCAGGGAAGCCATCACCCCATGTCCCACCAGCACAAGCCGTATGAATGTCCAGGGCTGAAGCAGCCTTGCAGATCCCTCTTGGTGCCAGAGTGGCTGTGGTGGCCCCTGCCAGAGGTCTGTCAGAGGCCAACACAGGGGCCACCACAGCCTCTCTGGCACCTTCAGGCAGTTTTGGCAGCACGGAGAAGGTGGTCACCATCTTTCCATGGCAGAGAGCCTGATGTGCCAAGTACGTGGGGAAGGGACAGGGTTGCTATTTATGGAGAAACCCCAGGAGCATCAAGAAGGGGCACCTTCTCCCTTCCAGCCTGGTTTTCTTCTAGCTGGGATGGGGTTTACCAGTGAGGTGGGATCTGGGATCTTTGCAGGGTGCAGTAGCAGCTGGGAGCATCTTTGCCAGGTGTCGGGTTTTGGATCAGCCAAGGGAAGAGTTTCGGTCTGGGTTTTAACCCTGATGGGACAAGACATGCTCAGTGTCCCCAAGTGATGGCGGGTCATATCTTGAGGACCAGAGATACGATGGCCTGGCCACTGGCCCCACTTCTCTGTGGTATCCCCATGGCCCAGGAGAGGCTGGCTTACACTTATGGAGAGCTACCTGCCCAACCTGGCATGCGTGCACGCACCCCTGCACGCCAGCTCAGCTGGGCTGAGAGGATTGTAGTCCTGTTGGGCAATGTTAACGTGCTGGCCGTGGCAAAGCAGCCTCACGAGCGGCAGAGAGGGGAGCCCCGAGCTCCTTCCTGCGTTGTCCCCTCCTGGTGGGAGGCTGCCCGTGGGAGCAGAGCCAAGGGATGACCTGAGCGCCTGCGCGTCCCGTCCTTGCCGTGTCTCTGAAGCGGCAGAAAGTCAGTAAGAGCAGCCAAGCTTCATTTCACAGTAACGAACTCAATGGTCTGAGAGGCGAGGTACAAAGTCAGCTGGAGGCTCTGGGAGAAGACCCCGCTGCAGACGTGGGGTTGTGGTCTCAGCACTCCCTGCGGTGGCGCGGGCTGGGCATGTCCTTATTTAACCTCTTGTGATGACACCATGCTGAACTTTCTCATTTCTCCCTCCTTTCCCCACCCTGTTGCGGCGGC